GAATCTGACTCATTACGTGCCGCTACTAATTTACCATCAAAGCGCGATGAACGAATTTCTGAGAGGGACTGGCTGTCATACTGGCAGAATCAAAGCAGTCGACCTTCAGCACGACAGTAGCTTTATCTGTCACTATATGCAATACCTGTCAGCTTCCAAGCCATGGGAATGCTGAGAAATGCTTCAGAAAAAAAAAAAAAAAAACAGCCTTGAAACGCTGCAAAAAAAACCTTCCAAAATTAGTAAACTGAAAAAGAAAATTGTAAAAATCTCTGGAAATGCTAAAATTGCCTTAGCAGAAAAACACAAAAAAAGCTCGAAAAAAATTGAAAAATTGAGAAAAAAATTGAAAAACTCAATCGCAATCCTCATCTAAAAGTATTACGCTGATTCTTAGGTATATGCCAATAACGCTTTACCATCGGAATGCATGGAGTAATCATAGGATAACTCTTGATCCGTGTATCCCTTCGTTGAGAATACCTTTTAGCGCCAAAAATTGCACTTAAGCTAAAGACTTCATAGCTGCGAGAGTGGACGGAGAAGAAAAGTTGGCAATAATTTACCAGTCAGCTGAGCTATAAAATATCCGCGCACAAAATGTGTGTGTTTTTTCACAACTATGGATAGGACGATTTTTATGGTACCAAGGTGCGGGAAGGGTTGTCAATGTAGTGGAAGGATCCGTTTGAACGACAATGCGTAGAAATGCTTGAATGAGAAGCTCAAATCAGACGAGGATGACAAATTTGCTAGGTGTACATCACTGGCGAAAAGAAATGCGACGATGGAACAACTGACTGAAACAGCACATATAGATTAGGTGTTTTACTGAGACTTGTTCCAGATTCGGGAGAAGTACCTTAGCTTCAGCCAAGATTTAAAGAACTAAAAGTTTGGTCAGAAAATAGTCCAAAAAAAGGTTTTAAAAAATTAGGCCGAAAAAATCGTGTAACAAGACGGCTATTGTACACATACAACTTATAAGAATTTTATGGCCAACAATAGAAGCTGGTGAAGATGAAAGTCCATAAGCTTCATTTCTTGTGTCAAATAATGATTTCAGATTCAAATTCAGTTGTTTTTTACATATTCTACAAGTAACCAGGCCGCAATGCAGCAGGCTTGCCGGTGCGGCCATGCATTTTTGCGCTAAACTTAAAGCAACTAGTTCGCTAATCGTATAAATAGTTGTAGCTTCATATTTAACTTGTGCATTAATCACCATAAAACACCGTAAATCATACATAAAGGAAAATGAATGATTTCCGAATCTTCAAATGATTTCCGTTGAGTGGTTGTTCATTGAAAATGATTTAGCTGTTCTAGTTCTCGAGCTAGCAATTCTTCTGCCAAAAATTTTACGTATCCGTATGTGAGGAACACGCTTATTGGTAGCTGAATTTGAAATTTTTAAGTTGTACGTGGACAAGAAGCATCAATTAAAAACTTCAGCTTTCCAGCCTTTCTTTTCTCTAAGTCGGGAATTTTCCGGCTAGAACTTTCGTACTCCCGTATGCTAGTTCATACATGCAAGAAAGTTGGTACCGCGCTCCTGCGGAGGCGCTAGGCCAGGGAACCTACTGGCGAAATTTCAGCGCCAAAGCTTACTTCACCACTGAGTCGAAATACACAAATAAATTCACACACATACACACACACACACACACACACACACACATATATGCACAAACGAACATATGCGCCATCGGTTGTTACAGTATGCGTTACTGCATTTGCATACATGCAAAAACGCATAAAAAGCATTGGGAAATTGCCTCTAAAAACTATGATTTTTAAATGGCGGGGCGTATTAAGATGGCCGAACACGGCCAGGTGGTTGACGCAGATTCGTCCAGCAGACCTTTGCTGTTAAAAACATTCACTGCTTTAGCCTTCGGCTTGTGCAAAAACAGTTAATATCTTGTTTGGCTCCTAAGCTGCGAGATTTTCCACCAAAAATTTCACGTGCCAGCACGTAAGACATAGGCTTACCCGCGGACTCAATGTGAGTTTGTAGAACTGCACATGAAATTTAATAGGAATCCGTGCAAAAGTGCGAAAGTCCATGACAAAACTAGTGGTGCACTGTTCGACCCGCTTTCCATTCTATAACGCAGAAGCTGAAGACATCCAGCCTTTTAATATAATTTTTATATATCCTTCTTTGTACTTTCTATATAAATTTCTTTTGAATATAAATCACAATTAATATCTCTAATTTTATGGCTGTGGAGAGGAGACCTAATTAGCACAGAGCAAAGAATAGTACCAGTGATTCTGCCATACTGGAATCAATAGGAGTGTTTGTGCTTGAAAATTTGTCGGAATTCTGACTTTAGGTTCATGCATCGTCCCCTTCATTCCACGGGAAGCGCATGCGATGAGGGCTATGCTCCCCACAGTGTAACTACGTGATACATGGACAGGAAACGTTATGTCAGAATTTCAGCTTTTCAGCTTTCCTGGTTCCTGGGTTAGCAGCCTTCCTGCCAATAATTTCTACGGGACCGTGGGTGAGGACTACGCATACCTGCAGGCTGAATTTGAAATTTTTAGGCTGTGTGCAGGCTGAGAGCATCTCCTTAAGATTTCAGTGTCCCTGCTTATATGGCTCCTAGGCCAGCAATTTCCCCCCAAAGTTTTCACGTGCTCGTACGCGGGGTCCAGAAGTCCGTGAAAATTGATACTAGAGGCAGTACTTGGCCGAGGAAACCCACTGGTAAAATCTTCGGACCGGAGCTCGCTTGGTTGCCGAGTTGAAATACCTAGACGGGCACACACACTTGCGCACCAAGGGTAGTCAAATATGCGTTTATGCATTTGCATATGTTCAGAAATGCGTGAAAAGTACTTATGGGCTGCATACATACCAAAAGTTGAGCTTAGCACATGCTACTAAAAAATTAATTTTGCAGAAGTGTTAGGATCACCAGCGAACTGACCACTAGACGAATACAGTTTTGGTCAAAGCATCTTTAAAAAACTGCTAGCTGCATAATCAGAAAAACATGTTGTAAATTATGGTTGATTAAAGTTACGTAGAATTATAAAAAAATACCTAAATGTCCAGATAAAGGATCAACAATCTCTTCTGCGTTGACCACCAAATGTATTCCCAGCTCTGATGCTGCATCCAGTGCTAAAATATCTTTTTGAAAATTATTTGCAATATCGGATGGTGCCAAAGCAATGTCATTGAAGCGCCGGGAAAGCCAAAAGGAGGATGGGAGGATTCAATTCAAATGCTTAATGGAGTTTCGGGGATGTGGCAAGATTAGAAATAAGCAAAAAGGAGAAGTCGTATGGCCCCAATTATAACTCATTTTATTAATAACCCAGACTGGAACGCACCGTGCGATCATGCGTTTGTGCACAGGACTTGAAATACTCATGCCATTAACTGCATGAATGGTTGTTGTTGCTTTACACCTACCTTTTGCGATCACTAGCATAAATCACCATAAATCTTGCATAAAATAAATGTGCAACTTCAGTTTAACGGTTCTTCGAAAATAACCTGTTCTGTGAGAAATTTTTTCGCCAGAACTTTTATGTGCTCGTACGTAACAACCACACATACCTCAAGGTTGAATTTTAAATACTTAAGTTGTACTTAGGGCCCCAAGTAAAACTCAGTTTATTAATAAAAACGAATGTCTATACAAGTATCAGGATTACTGTAACTGGTACCGACTGTCGGTGCGAAGATGCATTTTTTGCACAGTTCCCCGCAGGTCTTTGTCGCTAACGGCACTGTTTTTTTTCCGGCAGATGCTTCTGACTAAAAGAATTGAGACTGGCCACCAGAACTGTCAGAAAACGCCCTCTTAATGTTTCAGCCTTTTAGCTTCACTGGTTTCCGAGACAAAAACTTACTCGCCGACAATCTTCATGGGCCAGTACGTGGGAACCATGTACACCTAATGACTGCCTTTGAACTTATGAAGACCTACGTGGGCAGGGTATTTAAAATTCCAGCCTTTTAGCTTTTCAGTTTCCCAAGTTAGCAACTTATCTGCAAAAAGCTTTCACGAGCTTGTACGTGGGGACCACGTGTACCTGAGAGTTGGATTTGAATTTGTCGAGATCTATGCGAACGGGGAACATCTTAAAATTCCAGCTTTACAGCTTCCCAAGTTCCTGAGTTAGCAGCCTACCTGCCGAAAACTTTGAGGGCTCGCACATGGGAACCACGTGGACAAGAACGCCCGTTTTTTGGATGGGAGCTCATGCATGCATGTAGATTAAGTTCCCAAAGTTACAGCCTTGTAGCTTTTGTAAGTCTCGAGATGAAAAATCGGTACAGACGAAAACACACACAGAAAACTCCCCGACAATATGCGTTTTGCTTTGCATAGACACAAAAATGCATAAAAAACACCCAGACTATCCGAGTAAGGATTTCCTGCTGGGGATGCCTCAAAACAGTCATGCCTGATCTTTCGTTCCTTGACTGCATATTTTCGCTTATTACCCGCCGTCTACGTGCTTGCTTTTCAACTTTCGTCACTAACTACGTTTCGAGTCTGTATGACATTGCCTTCAGTAAAGTGGTACTAAAGAAAACTGAAAATCAAAAAAATTCCTTATATTCCACTCCCTTGAAATGAAGGAGACTGGAAAGTGGATGTGTTGAAATGGGAGTGCTTTGCCGGAAGCTGTTTTTCTCAGTATAATGCATTCTTTCAGCATTGCAGAACTCAAACGCAAGAACCTAGCAGGTGTCAACTATCAGGGATCGGTACTTGCGAGAAAGAAGACGCCTCACAGAATAATAAATTATGGCTATTAGAAGGCCGAATCGTAATCCTAAAACAAGTGGACGGTCTAAAGAAAACAAAATGTAGAATGACCGGGGCCAGAAAGTTAAAACGAATGGTGGGTATTGTTAAAATAATTTAAGAATGGCGCTCCTCGCTTTGGACATGGATATGGGAAGCGATAGCGGAAGGCAGGTAAGTCAGGATGGAAGGACTCGGCATAGCTCTGGCTACAACTCAAGGATGGTCGCCAAGCGTACTCCAGACATTCCTAGCAATCTCTGCAAACAGTAAAATGTAGTCAAAAAGCCCATGCGTTTATAGCACTTGTAGTAGCCTTCGCTGGAAAGACTTCTATGGCTTCTATGAGTAAACAAACCTTTCTGAATATTATTGATAGATCGTCCATGTGTAGTGCTACTGCCACAACTACCGTCAAAAACGCCAGTGATTTTCCCACCTAGTGCCTTCACCAGTGAACAAAGTGCAAATCCATTTTTCCAGGATTTTCCAAAATCTTCCACATGCACGTCAGGTATTAACTGAAAATGAAGCAGTAAAAAAGGACGTGTTTAATTCCACTCAAATGTCTGAAGACTTGCCCAAATGCTTTCGTCGGGAGAACCACCGCACCAGTAATCTTTCTAAAAAGACGAAAGGAATGTCAAGATTACCAGAAGGTTGACCACCAGGTGATGCAGCATTGGTCAAAACAATTATGAAATGAAGAAGGGAAGTGGCATCATTGAATCGTTGGTGAACTATTAGCCGTTTCAAGTAATCAATTAAGCGCTTATTTTATGGAACTATTAAAATTTTATCAAAAAAACTGGAAGAATAACGAGAAAAAATTCATCACATGGATTCTTTGATATTTTCGTTATCCTTAAAAGAAAACTCAAACAGTTGATTTCTGTGTAGATTTTTTCAGTTGTATTGATCAAATGCTGTTCCGTCTAGTGGTTAGCCTACTGACAGTCTGGACGTTCGTCTGCCTGCTTTCTAAAAGAAGCGCAAGTTTCAACAGTTTTTCGCCCGGCGCAAGCACTTGGTATTACTTTAGTCGTTTGACGATTCATTGGTTTGTACGGAGTATCACTGCAGGCGGATTCAGGATGGATTTCTGGGAGAACGTGGGAGGGTGGAGGGATGACGGGAGGGGAGGGACGGACGGGGAGAGAGGAGAGTCCACCCTGGAACTAGGCGAAAAATAGGAGTAGAATTTTAGAACTGTTACTTAGAATCACTTTAGGCTTTAGCTTACCTTAGTTTTAACTAGACCTGGGCTTTTTCAGCACTGGTGCCTGCGCAGATGGGAAGAGCGGGGTGGGTGGGAGCGAAAGACCCTCCGAGCATCACCGTCTCGTCCTGAATGTTATCAGTTATAGACTAAGGTGAAGTAATTGTTGCCGATGCTTTACATCGGGCCTGCATTTGGATAAGTGAATCCGAACTAACAGATATGACAAAAAAACCTTTCGGACATGGCGCAGTGTGGCATTATATCCCGGTGCCGCAATTTTCACAAAATATGACAGATAGGTGATGCAGGATAATTCATCCAAATCCGGTGAGGACATATCGCATGCCGACAAAATTCCGGGAATTTTGAAATGTTCCTCAGCGAGCCGAATTGCTGCTTCACAGTGTTGTTCACTTGAAAATATTATTTTTATCAAGCAAAGTGGCATGCCTCGATGCACAAAATCATTTGAAATCAAAGCTGGGAACTCCCCTGTGGATTAAGAAGCGTGATTTTTTCGAGGAAATATAATGATTTGTAGTATAAACCTGTAAGAAATTTAGGATTCCTTCCGAGCTCAATTCGTTCGTGTCACCGCGCTAAACACTTGTAATAAGAATTTACCTCTGTGTCCAAATACTGCAAAAATTAACCCATTTCCCGTTCGATTGCTTGGAAAGCTAAGTGTGTCAAAATTTCCAAATCACATCTTTTCTAGCTCGCCATGCACAAAGTTATTGTTAGTTTTTTGAATGTGCAAGGTCACAGGACAAAATACAGTAGAGCTTGAAACCTCCGATTAGATTTTTTTCCAGCTGTTAAAAGCAAGGAAGAGGCGCATAATTCTTCCTGGTATTTTGGGTTTTTAGACAAACGTAAGCGCATAAAATACCTGTTCGCCGGATCCAGATCTTTCCAATTCGGACACAATCCTGGTTCGCAATAATCCAGAAGCGCATTCAGTGCTCGTCCGTCATTCCAGTTTTTGTGAAAATTCGTCAAATTTAATTCCGGCAAGACACTCTGAAGAACGAAATTCGAAACCGGGCAAAATTTGGTTTTTCTATGAGCAAAATTTGGTGCCTTAGTAAGTTTTTCGCTACAATCTCGTCGGCTGAAAGGATAACTAGCTTATCGCTTCTTCCGGCGGATGCAGTTCGAAAAGGTTTAGCTATTTAAAGGAGAACATACAAATATGTATGTATGTGTGCATGTGTGTATGTGCGTGTGCGTGTGTGTGTGTGTGTGTGTGTGTGTGT